TATCAGGTCCTGCAAATCTGGGTCAACCTCTTGAAGACACTCCAGTTGCCCACTCTCCTCACAAGCATTGCAGCAGTGGTGCTGCTGATTGGCCATGCTACTGTTTTGGGCTTCTATCCTGTCTACACTCTCATGTCACAGCCTTTTGGGCCTGCCTCCTGTTGCGTCATTACCATCGAGCAGGTGTGAGATTAGAATATGAATCTAGAAGTAATTTTATCTGAAATTGTCTGTCCAAAGTACATACTCCTTACATATAAGAATACTGCAATGAAGGCTGAAACTATTGTCAGTGACAGTAGTATTTATTTTTTTTGATGGGTGTGCTTTGGCAAGCTGTTCATTGCATTGCCCTTTGCTGCCACCTAATGTTCGGTCTTATATTGCAAGCTCATAGTTTTCTGTGGCCATGGCCAAATATTCATTACAATGTCCTTTAGCGTCACCTTGTGTTCAGGCTTATATTGCAAGCTCATAGTTTTCTATGGCAAACTATTCATTGCATTGCGCTTTGGCAACAGCTGTGCACACCAGGGCTGAGAAGGCATCTTTGAACCCAAAGCCATACCAGAGTTCTAATAAGCAAAGCAGTTTATTAAGGAATAAAACAACAATAGCCAAAAAAGGTAAAAGGCATTCAAACTAGCAATAATAAAATGTCCAAAAAGCAGTCAGTTGAGTAAAGTAAATAATCCAGTCAAAATCCAAGTCAGGAAGCAGGAAGTTCCCAAACTCCAACACACAAGTCCACAGAAGTTAGAGTCTTTCAGTTCCAAAGGTTGCCAAAAGATCAAAGTCACTTGAAGAAGCAGGAACAAACTTGAACCAAGAAATCCAAAGTCAGGAGCTTGAAACCAAGGCAAACAGCATACAGGAAACTCAGCATGAACATGAATTCAAAACAGGAGTACACAGGAATCTCAGCATGAACAGGAAGGCATGGATACAAGGCATGAAGAGAAAGACATGGTTGTACATGAAAACCAAACGTTGGACTCACTGAAGAGTGTAGATTCACAGACCCTATATTTATTCACAAAGCCATGGCAAAAGCATTCCTTTTCCCTTGGGAAACTTCTCCTTGACCCCTCTTCTCCCTCAATCTTTCAGACTGCCTCCTCCCTAATTCCAGTTGGCGATGTTGATGAATCTGGCTTCTTCTTTCAAAACCTAACTCACTCAGTTTGCCATTCCTTTCACTATCTGGCCTTGGAAGTTCAGCGTTTTCCTCGGCCTCCTTTTCTGCATGCACTGGAACACTTTGGCCTGCTGATCAGCTATCCCATGATCCTCGGGTTCACTGGTTAACTGTACTCTCTTGACCATCATCTCTATTCACATACCCCTGAGAGTCAACAGAAACGTGATCATTTAATTCAGACATTGAAACGTCTGCAGATTCAGGCATAGAGTCCCCAGCAGAACCTTGATCCTTCTCCTTAGTGTCCTGAGGCAAAGAGACAATCACAGGCTGAGCCCCTACAACACCTAGTGTTCTGTCTTATATTTCAGAAAACTACGTTCTGTGTTTTACAGAAAAGAAGGGACAGGCATCCCCTGTGTTTAAAAATAGCAACATTCCTACCTACCACACACAGAATCAGGGAGCTCCTTGGCTTACATTTCAACATTGTCCCAACATTGACACAGTCATGGGTGTTTGGCTTTGTGGGAAGTTGTTACTGTTGGCAAATAGGGACCAGAGTTGCAAAGCAAGCAGTAACCAGAGGGGAGAGCAGATCCATGTATACCTGAGCCATGAGCTACTCAAAGCTAGATCAGAACAAATGGCTTTACCAACTGAAGGGGAAACTTATTTTGCTCTTGTGTCACCTGCTCCATGCTAAGCTGGTAGGTATAATGCCAGTCTTTGATGTTCCACAATAGTGGTACTGAGCTTCAAGTGAGAGCAGCATCCCCTTGTCTGCTAAACCTGAGAAAAGAACATGAATGTAAAACTCCTCCCTTAAGTACAGAGATGGTGGCTTCGGTTCCCAATTCAGGTCTTGTCTCAGCAGCTCCTAAACACTAAGCCCCAAGCCCGTTCTACACTGCCATATAATCCAGATTATCAATTTAGATAATCCACATTATCTGATCTGAACTGGATTATAGGAGTCTATACTGCCATATAATCCAGTTCAAAACAGATAATCTGGATTTCATATGGCAGTGTAAAAGGCCCAGATATGCATTGTTTCAATATTTGCTTTCCCTTCTTGTTTAGGTCCGGTTCTTGATGAAAAGCTATTCCTTCTTGCGGGAAACTGTGCCTCCGATCCTTCAGGGCAGGTCACATGATGGTGAGCTTAATTTGGAGACAATCTGGGGTTATTAGGAAGGAAAGAATCCCATCTGGTTTCCAGTTCTTATAGTTCCTTCTTTACTCTTGATATGCCAGGTGACATAAGAACAGGGCTCTTCTACCCATGATTGTTAAGAAGAAGAAGGAATTTCTATAAGAGGTGCTTTATGATAGTTTTCCAAGTCTTGTTTTAGGATATGACTTTTCTCAGCATGCCATACAAGCCCATGTCTATTTCTTCCTCAGTGGTCTCAGATGCTCTTTTTTTCCTGTCCCCTTTCAGGGAAGATGCAGCTGCCTCAATTCTCTACTTATCTGTATTTTCTCTTCTGCCCTACTTTGATCTACAGGGAGAACTATCCAAGGTGAGTCCTTTCCACACACATCTTTAGTCTCGGATGGCTTCTTACATCCACAATTCCAGCTCAATGACCAGAAAAGGGAATTTGGGGAACATGTATCCTCAGAATGCAGAGTTTACTGTTTCTGAACCTGGCACACTGCAGAGGTTGGACTATGGTTCTCATACAGAATGCCAGCCCTTCAATAGTCTTGCCATAAAATTCTTGAAATACATTGGAAAAAATAATAATCTAATACCTCGTATTCTCCTTATGCTATTCATAGGACATCCTGTGTTCGATGGAGGTATGTCATCGGAAACTTTGCGAAGGTGAGAGACACCAAACGTCTAAATTGTACATTTGGCAAAAAGTACATGGCCAAAAGTACAAAGTTTCCACAATGTCTTGGCTGAAAGGGATGTCATATCAGATGCATTGTATGAAATTAAAGCGATTACAGGATCCAGCTACATCAAGCCCAGCTGGAATTTTTTTAAGGGCTCTGTTGAACTTGGCTTCATTTTCATACTAATCTTAAATGCATCCACACACTAAGATGGAGCTTTCTCCTTTTTCATGCAGTTCCTGATCTGCCTGTTTTATGGATTCATGCTCTTAAAGTGCATCTTAATTCCTCTCAGCAGCAACATTAATAAGCAGCCCCTCACTTTCCGAAGTTTTGTGCTGATGGTCTTTATTGCAACATTGGGAGGTAGGTAGGCAGAACAGTGATGTTGTTTGTATGATGAAGATGAGCCAAAGTAATCAATCGAAAACAAGTCAGGGATGTAGCATTTTTCAGATGGAAGCTTATTCGCCTTGGCAGAACCACAACCACCATCCCTATTGTAATTTTTCTGCTCCCACCAACATTGTCCCTCTCAAAATCTCATCTGCATGTCCTGCCAGACTAGGTAAGCCACATTTTTGTATAAACCAACCAACCCTTCAGAATATCATGTTGATTGCTAGTTTTTCCAAAATATGCTGTGTTTCTTTCATTATTAGACTCCTTCCCCATGCCGCCTCCTCTTTAAAAGAAACCTCTTAAAATAGGATGCATCCTAGAATTTTAGGTACTTCGCAATTGTAAAGCTAAAATTTTAAAGCATAAAATGAGAATTTCTAATAAATATCATTACAAAACGTATTCTGGTGCAACGCTGGGTACATAAACTAGCAGCATAAATTCTTTGATTACCCTCATACTCTATATACTTACCATCTGCAATGCAGCATCTTCTTGACAAGACATCTGGATTGAACTCTGAAGTGAATTGTATTTGGCATTTAGTTAATGACACTTCTTGTCGAAGGCTTTCATAGCTGGAATCACTAGGTTCTTGTGGGTTTTTTTGGGCTATAGAGCCATGTTCTAGAGGCATTTCTCCTGACGTTTCGCCTGCATCTATGGCAAGCATCCTCAAAGGTAGTGAGGTCTGTTGGAATTAGGACAATGGGTTATATATCTGTGGAATGGCTGGGGTGGGGCAAAGAGAAGAGGTTGCGTTCTAGGCGGTCATAGATCTGGTGAGCCTGTGGTGTTTTGAAAGTCCTTTTGGCTGCGAGAGATTGTGGGATGGTATCTGTGTCTCTGCAGCGTAGAAGGAAAGTCAGGGAGCACAGTAGATGTGCTTTCCTGGTCCTTAGTTTCTCCAATTTCCGTGTGTCTTGGAACAGTTTCTCCCCGTAGAGATGTTCAATGTATTGTCGAAGGCTTTCATGGCTGGAATCACTAGGTTCTTGTGGGTTTTTTCGGGCTATAGAGCCATGTTCTAGAGGCATTTCTCCTGATGTTTCGCCTGCATCTATGCAACCCATTGTCCTAATTCCAACAGACCTCACTACCTCTGAGGATGCTTGCCACAGATGCAGGCGAAACGTCAGGAGAAATGCCTCTAGAACATGGCTCTATAGCCCGAAAAAACCCACAAGAACCTAATGACACTTCTGTTTGACCTTAAGCAAAGTATGAACTATCTACATGCAAGAATGAATTGTACACTTCTGAGCTTTTAATTCAGTGCAAAAAAAAACTCTATGAGAATTGCCTAAAACGATATGTAATGAAAAGAACTTGTTGGCTTGTGCAATCAATAGTATCTTAAAATTGAAGAAATGTGCTATCATAGGGCCTTTCCACACAGCCTTGTAACCCAGAATATCAAGGCAGAAAATCCCATATCTGCTTTGAACTGGGTTATCTGAGTCCACGCTGCCAGATAATCCAGTTCAATGTGGATTTTATATAGCTGTGTGGAAGGGGCCGGAGTGTAATCAGGCCATCTTCAGATTATCAAGTATTATTTATCAAGCTATGGCAAATGCTGCAGCCCGAAATGTCTCCTATTTATTTACATATCTTTAAGTTGATGCAACTGAGGTGACTAATGTTTTCTGTCCCCACAGCATTATATTTTATAATCCTGCTGTGCTATGCCTTTCTCCACTGTTGGCTTAATGCCTTTGCTGAAATGATGCACTTTGCTGACCGTACCTTCTACAAGGTAATTTCAGGGGTTTGGTGGGGGTCCAGGGAAAGGGCTGGACTGTTTTGTGCTCTGCTCCATCTGCATAGAAATTGCTCCCAAATAAAATGGCTGGGGACTTCCGATGCAGCAACATAGTGGCTGGTCAGACTTCCTGAGTGCTCCCAGAGAATCGGCCCCACAGTGACTGGGTAGAGCACTCGGCTCCCTCCCCATTTGTGAATCGAGGCAGAAGGGGACAGCAAAACTCAAAGGACACCATGTAGCAGCACAGAAGGGGTTCGCTCCTAAAGAGCAAACCTCTGGTTTACCCGGACAAGGAGCCCACAGAGTACAGCGAGTTGGAAAGACAGAAAGCTGGGAATGCAAGCAGAACAGCCATCCATTGTGAATTTTTAAGGAAAGAAAGAGAAGAGTCAAAAGGCTCAACAAAACCTGAGTTCAAGAAATAATCTTTTTCGTTGTGTCAAGACTCCTCGAGTCAAACATCCCAAATATGGCAGAATACTAATAATACCAAAGGGGCAAGCCAGGAGAAAAAAAACTAAAGACTAAAGGAAGTAAGATTAGAAAGATTAGAAAGATAAGAAGAGAAAGTGCAAAGAGATGTAAAAAACCGGAATGGTAAGGAGGAGAAATAATTGTGAGGAGAGGAGTTGCCATTAAGAGTGGAAATATAGAGGAATGGCTGACCTTGAAACCTCATTGTTTAATCTACAAAGAGCTCCTTCTTTAAATAAAAAAAAGGATGATAGAGCTGTGGAAAGAAAGAGAGGGTAGAAGTACGCCACTGTAACAACAAAGAGGGAGGCAAGGAAGGGCTAGAAAGGAAGGAAGAAGACAGGAAATGACCTCTTCTCATGTAATACTGCAAGAGACGGGAACATGGAAAGAAACAAAACAATGTGATAGCAGAAATATGATAGTAGAAAGAAATGATCATAGATGGTGGAGAGTTAAAGAACATGTAAGAGACTGCAGAAAGGGCAGAGAAAACAGAAAGAAGTACATAGAAGTTCATAGAAGTAGCTAAAAATAGAGAACTAGTCAAGAGGGATGCAACTAAAAGGGAAAAAGGAGACAAAGTGTAAAAGAAATAAACTGAAAGATAAGCAAGAAGATAAAGATGGAAGGATAGAACAACTTTGATAAGACACAGATGTGAAGTGAGAGGATAAGAAGGAATTTGGCCATCAGACACTACAAAGGGTACCACAAAGGAGAAGAGAAAGAAAAAGAAGGAAGAAGGCAGAGGTAAAAGAAAACAGCGAGGACAACATTGAACAGCTAAAGGGGACAGAGGAGGAAGAGAAGGAGACTGCTATGTTCTTCGGGGGAAGATCTGCACTTTCCAAGAATAGTAAAGTAAAATCAGTAAAAAGAAGAGAGGAAAGCAAGAGGGAAATAAGAAATTTCAAAATAAAATAAACAGATAAAAACATAAATTAAAATATTGGAACATTTGGAAAGAGAAAAACTGAAGAATTAAGAAAGTTGAACAAATAGAGAACCACACGTAAAGAATTATTGTAAGAAGTGGCAACACCCAAAGCAAAGCAAGAAGAGAAGAAAATCTACCCTAGAAGAAACTCTATTCCCGAAGAAATATCTATGAAAGACCCTATGAGATAAATCCAAAATATGGCAGAAAAACAAGATGCATATCAAAAATTAACACGGGATCAAATGATGAGCATGAGGAAAGAGATCTCTGAATAACTGAATATGATAAAAAAAAGGGATTCAAGATGATATAGGATCAATAAGGAAAGAACTCAATGCCATTCAACAAGAAAAAAAAGGATATAAAACAGGACAGACAGAAAATGGAGAAAGTTCAAGGGAAGATTCAAAATCATCTGGCTAGGATAAAATTTATCAACTTAACAGATGAAAAAAGGGTGGGGAGTCTTCAGACTCCCGGGCATGAAATTATATTATGAAGCATGCTGTCTAGTGTGGATAAAGGAAAGGATAGCTCTCAATAAAATGAAGCCTCTATCACTGGAAGGACTTGATTTAAGAAAGGACATGCATACCTATCCTCATCCACTTCCTCCTCCACTTCTTCCTCCACTTCTTTGCCTTCCACTTCTTCCTCCATTTCTTTGTCTTCCACTTCTTCCTCCGCTTCTTCCACCTCTAATTCTTCCTCCTCCACTTCTTCCTCCATTTCTTTGTTCTCCACTCTTTGTCCTCCATTTGTTCCTCCACTTCTTCCACCTCTACTTCTTTCTCCAGTAGGGTTAGGGGGTTAGGGTTAGGAGGTTAGGATTAGGGGACTAAGGGTTAAGGGATTTTTGTCCTTCACTTCTTCCTCCATTTCTTTGACTTCCACTTCTTTGTCCTCCACTTCTTCCTCCACTTCTTCCATTTCTTTGTCCTCCACTTTTCCTCCTCCACTTCTTTGTCCTCCACTTCTTCCTCCATTTCTTTGTCTTCCACTTCTTTATCCTCCACTTCTTCCTCCATCTCGATGCCTTTCACATCTTCCTCAATTTCTTTATCTTCCACTTCTTCCTCCTCCAATTTTTTGTCCTCCACTTCTTCTGCCATGTCTTTGTCTTTCTCCACTTCCTCCTCTACTTCTTCCTCCATTTCTTTGCCTTCTACTTCTTCCTCCATTTCTTTCTCTTTCTCTTCCACTTCTTGGTCATCCACTTCTTTGTCCTCCACTTCTTCCTCCACTTCTTCCACCTCTACTTCTTACTCCTCCACATCTTTCTCCAGTAGGGTTAGGGGGTTAGGATTAGGAGATTAGGGGTTAAAGGGTTTGTGTCCTCTACTTCTTTATCCTCCAGTTCTTCCTCCATTTCTTTGTCTTCCAACTTCTTTGACCTCCACTTCTTTGCCCTCCATTTCTTCCTCCAATTCTTTGTCTTCCACTTCTTTGTCCTCCACTTTTCCTTCTCCACTTCTTCCTTCACTTCTTCGTCCTCCTTCTTCCATATTTTGTCCTCCACTTCTTTGTCCTCCACTTCTTTGTCCTCCACTTCATCCTCCATCTCTTCCTCCTCCATTTCTTCCTCCTCCTTTTCATTCTCCATTTCTTTGTCCTCCTCTTCCTCCTCCACTTCTTCATTTCTTTGCCCTCCACTTCTTTGTCCTCCACTTCTTCCTCCATTTCTTTGTCCTCCACTTCTTTGCCCTCCACTTCTTCCTCCTCCTTTTCATCCTCCACTTCTTTGTCCTCCTCTTCTTCCTCCACTTCTTTGTTCTCCACTTCTTCCTACACTTCCTCCTCCTATACTTCTTCCCCCATTTCTTTGTCCCCCTCTTCCTCCTCCACTTTTCCTCCATCTTTTTGTCCTCCATTTCTTTGTCTTCCACTTCTTATCTTCCACTACTTCCTCCACTTCTTCTTACATTTCTTTGTCCTCCACTTCTTCCACCTCTGCTTCTTACTCCTCCAATTCTTTCTCCAGTAGGGCTAGGAGGTTAGGGTTAGGAGGATTGGGTTATGGTTAGGGGGTTGGGGTTAGGGTGTTAGGATTAGGGGATTAAGGGGATTAAGGGTTAAGGGTTTTTGGGGTCAGGGTCGGGGTCAGGGTCAGGGTTAGGGTTAGGATTTGGGTATCTCCCAATAAGCTATTTATTCTAGGTCTTTCAATTGTGTCAGCACTAGCCCTGTCCTGATTATTGCCCCACATTTTTCAACTGTCAGAATTGAATGCTATATAGAGTATACACTGATCAACTACAGCAGAATTTATGACTTTCCAGTGAGTTTGTTGTTTTTTTTAATATGCTGTTTGAGGCTTGTTGCATGCTGCAGTGCACATTGGGAGTGTATGTTTTGCAGACACCCCGACCTGTAGAAAGGGTTTGAACTGCACTATAATGCCTGTGTAGAACCACCCAAAGATTTCTTCTAATATATCATGTTCAGTTCAATAAAAGACACTACTGAATGTAATGTGCACCTCAATTACAAAAAAAATATTTGCTATCAAATGTAATGTGAGGTCGTGGTGACCACCAAAGTGCTGATGGGAAGCCACACCTTTCCATCAGGCTTGGTGGAAAACAGATACTGGCCCCAGAAAGGCTGGTGGAAGCCACACCCCTCCATCTGGCCTTTCCACCAGCATTTCCACCAGTATTTTCACCACTGCCTCTTTCTCCTCTGCCCCCAGCTGGGATCTCTTGCCCAACTGCTCAGGCAGGTTTAGTTGGACAATTCTAATTTGCCATTGAATCTAATGTGCATCTTAATTTTAGAGTCTTTTATTTCCCACCTGCCCAGGACTGGTGGAATGCCACATCTTTCTCTGCATTCATTCGGAACTGGAATGTAGTAGTACATGATTGGCTGTACTATTATATCTATCAGGACCTTCTGTGGGTAAGTGAGACTTGGTAAAAAATAATATAGGATTAAAGATTTATATAATATGAATGGCCACCTTATTCCCATGAACAGAATAATAGACAAAATAGGAAATAAAAATTGGATTAAGATACTTTGTTGTTATTTATTCGTTCAATCGCTTACGACTCTGTGTGACCTCATGGACCAGCGCATGCCAGAGCTTCCTGTCGGCCGTGGCCACCCCCAACTCCTTCAAAGTCAAGCCAGTTACTTCAAGGATACCATCCATTCATCTTGCCTTTGGTTGGTCTCTCTTCCTTTTTCCTTCCATTTTCCCCAGCAACATTATCTTCTCCCAGCTTTCCTGTCTTCTCATGATGTGACCAAAGTACTTCATCTTTGCCTCTAATATCCTTCCCTCCAGTGAGCAGTCAGGCATTACTTCCTGAAGTATGGACTGGTTGGATCTTCTCATGGTCCAAGGCACTCTCAGAATTTTCCTCCAGCACCACAGTTCAAAAGCATCTATCTTCCTTCGCTCAGTCTTCCTTACGGTCCAGCTCTCACATCCATAGGTTACTACGGGGAATAACATTTCTTTAACTATGTACATCTTCATTGCCAGTCTTCACTATTTTATCGAGATTGGTCATTGCTCTCCTCCCAAAAAGTAAACATCTTCTGATTTCCTGGCTGCAGTCAGGAATATACTAGGTTTATATCATAAATTGAAACAAGGAAAATATGAAGAATGTATAGGTAGGTAGAGTATGATGGAAGACAATCAGAAAAGCACAGAATTCAGAGAAAGAGCTAGTTAAAGTAATATTCAAATGGATGATCAAAGAAGAGGAATATATTATAAGAACATTATAAAATAAATGACAAAAAGAGAGAGTACTTACAAGACAAATAATAGAGGACTTAAAAAGAGGCTAGAAAAATCAAAATAGAGAAGTACAAAGAAATGGAAAGGAAATTTATTTGGAAATGGTATCGAACCCCAGCACAACTATCAAATATATTTTTGGTAAAAGTTCAACGTGTTGGCACTATGGATTAAGCAAAGGCTGGCATGCTCACATGTGGTGGGAATGTCCAAAGGCAAAAATATTTTGGAAACAAATAACAAAAAATGGAGAAATTATTTCAAATGCCACTTCAAGTAAAAATAGAGCTGATATTAATGGGCATTTTAGGAAACAATAAGATCAATAAAAAATCAAGATTTATTAAGAGCAATTATTTTTGCAGGAAATGAAATAATAGCTTTGGGTTGGAAAGATGAAAAAAAGAATATGATAAATTGGAATAATAACTTATTTGATCGGGTCCAATCAAATATTATAGCAAGTGTAATCTGTGAGGTTAAGAAGGAAAATAAAATGAGAAAAATTAAAGAGAATTGGTTGAAATATACTGAATGAATAAAAAGTCAATGTAAATATTGTACAAAGATGTGAAAAGCTGCGTTCATGGATGAAGTTAAAGTTCTTATGGAAATTGTAATATGGGTATGGGGTGGGGGGAGGAAAAAAGGTAAGTCTTGGTAAAACAGATTTAAAGGAAGTCCAGTTCATTGAGTGAATAGAGAAGATAGAGACAGAGAGGCACATACAGCAGGGATGGGAAAACCATGTTTGTCCACATTCTTTGCCAAAAAATTTTTACTTAAAGCCCCACCATCCAATGCAAGTAGTCCAATGATCAGGGTAGGTGGCATAACGGCATCTGCATCCAACAACATTTGGCAGATCAGTTATTCAAGCCTGGCAATCCATTTCCAACCTGGAAGAACAATTCACACTCTTTCATCAAATGCTCAGATGCTTTCTATATGATTCCACCATGTGGCTCACCTGTGCTTCTTGCCTTCCAGGTATTCAAATCAAAGGCCCGGCCTGTGGCTGTGTTGTCCACCTTCATTGTTTCAGGTGCTTTTCATGAATATATCTTCATGATGAGTCTTGGCTTCTTCAACCCACTTCTGTCCATATTCTGGTTTATTTCCGTCGCAGCAGGTCAGTACTACCTTAAACGACCCATGAGAGCAGAAATCGTCTTAATATTGAATATATTGGGGTTTGAAAATCCATGCCTGCAAATATATAAGACACAAGAAAAGGTTTCTAAAGGACAACCATAAAATGTTTTTTTAAATCAATATTTAGTCACTATACATCCAATCATAACTAAATGTAAAATGCAGAGGAATAAAGTTGGCTCAGTCACCTTACCTTTGTGACAGTCCTCACCACCACATGTAACAGTGGAAAAAAGAAGCCCAAGCTGCTTGTTAAGTTGTCATCATCTAGCTCTGAATATTGGCTCTTCTCTCCTGCATTCGCCACTAGATGTATTTATTTATTTATTTATTTTGAACATTTATACCCCATCCTTCTCTACCTCCGAGGGTGGACTCAGGGCAGCTTACAATGGCAATAATAGATGCCAGCAACATACAAAACATTACAATGAAAAAAAAAGATAAAGAGCAGGAAAGGAGAAAGAAATTAGAAATGTAGGGAAAAGCCATATTTATCAAGAAAAGTAACAGCAAAGTTTCAGATTTCGAGAAGAGCTCTTCTGTCCTAAATTGGCTCACTGGTGCAAAATGAGTGTGTGTCGGGAGGGGAGGGGGGGGGGGAGGAATAGACGACACATCCATAGCACATGTCCAAAAGTGGTGGAAATGTCCTTCACAACCCTAAAGTGCATTTGGGGGGCATTAAGGAATAAGCAAAAATATTTTTATTCTCTGGAAAACTTTGGGAACACAAAAAAGTTTTTAATGTAATGTATTTTGATGATTTCTTTTAAATATGTCTATCACTGTGGTTAGCACTCGAACGAGTGCTTGTTGTGAAACCGGGGGCAGGGGGAGAAGGACAGGGTACAAATGTACAAAATAATAATAATAATAATAATAATAATAATAATAATAATAATAATAGGCTCTGGCATAAACCAGTACAGGTGGTCCCAGTGGTCATTGGCACACTAACTGCCATGCCAAAAGATCTCAGCCAGCATTTTGAAACAATAAACATTGACAAAATCACAATCTGTCAACTGCAAAAGGCCACCTTACTTGGATCTGCGCGCATCATTCGAAAATACATCACACAGTCCTAGACGCTTGGGAAGTGTTCAACTTGTGATTTTGTGATACAAAATCCAGCATATAGATCTTGTTTGCTGTGACATACTGTGTTTTGTGTCAGTAAAACAATAATAATAATAATAATAATAATAATAATAGTGCCAGGAGCCTCAAGCAGTACCATGACACGTTGTCCACCTGTGGACTTTTTAAAGGTTGCTTTAGTATTTAAGTGTGTTTAAGCAAAATTGTGATGCAAACATTCTTAAATTTTTAAGCACTGTTTTCTATGTCAGTTTTGAGCATTGGTGGCCATGTCAACCCCATAACCACTTTTATAAGATGCTGCCTGTATGTCGGAACTACTCTATAGTTCTGACACATACACACACACATACTAGGGTTAAAGCCTGTATGGCTCAAGGAAAATGTTTGGGTACAATGTGTGTGCATGTATCCATCTGACAAAACCAATGGCAGCCTTACTGTAGATGCTTACTCGTCTTCAATGGTTTAATATTTCTACTTGCAAAAAAAAATAGATTTCTTTATTGTTAGTTCTAATGTTACAAGCAAAATAGGCATAACATTCATGTTATATCTCTTATGTCAGGGATAGGGAATATCTATCCAGATGTTTTGGATTTCCACTCCAATTCAAATGCCCAATGGTAAAATACTGTAAAAGCTGCAGTCTAAAATATACAGAAAGATAAAGGTTCTCCCTTCCTGCCTTATTGTCCACCTAACCCTGCTCATCAGTGGGCTTGTATTCCTTGTTGTTTTCCTCATAGGATATGACTTTTCTGAAAACAAATTAAATAAGTTTCATTCTAACTAGGGCCCATGAAATAGGGAATGTGCTATTTTATGAACATGGGAATAAAGAACTATAGAACAGGGATAGGTCACAAAACCCAGAGATCCCTTTTGCGCATTATAATCCACTAAGCACAGCTAATCTTCCACCAATCTTCTTCACAGATATCTTGGGAGTGCCCAACTCAAACATCATATTATGGATTCGTTTGCTGTGCAGTGTAGCACTTCTGCTGACCATACAACCCCTAGAATGGTATGCCCGGATCCACTGTCCAGTCCAGAAGGTGAGCATATTGACTCACAGAAGTACAATTTTCTGCTCTTTTCTCGTACAAGCCTATATTATGGTTCAATTGTTTCCTACTCTGTTAGAGTGAAATTGGTAAATTAACCCACAGTGAAACATTTCTATTGACATACTTCCAGTATGATCTCACAAACAGGACATTTCGGAAATCTCAGTAGATGAGAGAAGAACTTCTAAATTATGTAATTGTGTTATTATTGTTCATTATTTGTGTTTTCGGTTTTGTTTTATTTTATGTAATTGTTGTTTTGGGCTTGGCCTCATGTAAGCCGCACCGAGCCCCCAACGGGGAGATGGTGGTAGGGTACAAATAAAGATTATTATTATTATTATTATTATTATTACTATTATTATTATTATTATTATTAAATGTCAGTGGGAGCTGATGTCTCTTAGGACTGAAAGCAACCAATGTCAGCTTGATGAGTGCTTCTTGAATCCAAAGTACTTGAATGCTGACATGTAGATAACCTGAAAAACCATCAAGACTGTAGAATATTCAGTCTGCAGATATTCACAAGGATATGATTTTCAGTTCTCTCTGTTTCTTACAAGTTTAAGGAATGATAAATTAAAAATTAAAAATTCAATTAAAGTATCAACTTAGGAGACAAAGTAGCTGCTCCTTCTTCACATGTTAGTTAAAGTGTTATTTTGTATTAAATCAGGTACAAGAGGAATTAGTCTACATACATAAGTTGTGTACACTTGTTCGGAGCCATTTCCTGAAGATATTGGGTGTTTATATCATTCATAATTGGTGAAAGGGATTTTATTCTATAAATAAAACATTAGTAGAAGTATAGCTGTTAGGCCTGTTTGATCAAGAAAAAATTTGTTTCTAAAATCGTTTTGTAATTGGGGTGTTTTTTTGTTTCGATATTTAAAATAATTACAAAACTTTTCCAAAAAAAGTTTTGGTATTTACGAAATTTTGTAATTATTAACGAATTTTTAGAATATTTTTTGTATTATTTAATAATAATATTAAAATAATATTAAAAATAATATTAAAAATAATATTAAAAAATAATATTAAAAAATATTTTAAAATGGAAAACGAAACCGCACAGGCCTACTATACAGACATAGCGCGTTTGAGTCAGACCCAGCTAACACCTCCCAACAAAGGATTCCCCTGAGCAGGAAGGAGCCAGACTTTGAAGCTAAAAGGCCATTTAATCCCAATCAAGCTGTCCAATGGCAACATTCACACTTGCCTCCAACAGACAAGAGCTCCTATAAACAGACATAGCGTGGTTTTGAAGTCACCCATCTAACACCATCCCAACAAGGATTCCCCTGAGTCGGAATAATATTAAAAATAATATTAAAAAATAATATTAAAAAATAATATTAAAAAATATTTTAAAATGGAAAACGAAACCGCACAGGCCTACTATACAGACATAGCGGGTTTGAGTCAGACCCAGCTAACACCTCCCAACAAAGGATTCCCCTGAAATAATATTAAAAATAATATTAAAAAATAATATTAAAAATAATATTAAAAATAATATTAAAAAATATTTTAAAATGGAAAACGAAACCGCACAGGCCTACTATACAGACATAGCGGGTTTGAGTCAGACCCAGCTAACACCTCCCAACAAAGGATTCCCCTGAGCAGGAATAATATTAAAATAATATTAAAATAATATTAAAAATAATATTAAAAATAATATTAAAAAATATTTTAAAATGGAAAACGAAACCGCACAGGCCTACTATACAGACATAGCGGGTTTGAGTCAGACCCAGCTAACACCTCCCAACAAAGGATTCCCCTGAGCAGGAATAATATTAAAATAATATTAAAAAATAATATTAAAAATAATATTAAAAAATAATATTAAAAAATATTTTAAAATGGAAAACGAAACCGCACAGGCCTACTATACAGACAGAGGAATTCCAGACAAGAATCAGTCAGACCCAGCTAACACCTCCCAACAAAGGATTCCCCTGAGCAGGAAGGAGCCAGACTTTGAAGCTACAAGGCCATTTAATCCCAATCAAGCTGTCCAAACTCCATTTGCCAGTAGTTTCCAACAGACCTCTGAGGATGCCTGCCATAGATGTGGGCAAAATGTCAGGAGAGAATGCTTCTGGAACATGGTCATACAGCCCAGAAAACTCACAGCAAGCCTGGATGCAGCTCCTGCGCTCCGCCTCCGGGGGCCCGGCTCCTGCGCCCTCCGGGAGAGAAAGAGAAGGAAGGAAGGAAGGAAGGAAGGAAGAGAGAAGAAAGGTGGGAGTGAGGCTAGGCAGAGACGAGAGAAAGAGAGAAGGAGGGAAGGAGACAGAGAGAGAGGGAGAGGGAGGAGAGAACTGGGGCGTGAGCAATATGAGTAGATATAAATAGGTAGAAAGGGGGAGTGTGTGAGAGAAAAGAAATAGAGGAGGAGTAAGAAGGTGGTGGTGGAGCAGGAGCAGGTGGTAGGAAGGAGTGACGCGAATAGATAGATAAAGAGGAAATAGATGGACAATGTGCTTGTTTTTATGTTGCTCTAGAGATTATAGAGAGTAATGAAAGAATTAAGGAATGAAGGAAGGAGGTAGTGACAGGAATTAAAGCAAGAAGAGAACGAATGAGGATGAGGCCAGCAGGCTGAGAGAAAGATAGAGAACGCGAGAGAGACGAGGGGGGGAAAGGAGGGAGTGTGTGAGAGAGAAAGAGGGAGGGAGTGAGAGAGAAGGATGGAGTGAAAGAGAGAAGGGGGAGGAAGGAGGGACGCGAAAGAGAGAGAGAAAGAGGGGAAACGAGGGAGTGTGTGAGAGAGAAAGGGGGAAAGAGAGAGAGAAGGAAGGAAAGAAGTGGGAG